GAGAAGCGGCGACGACGCGGAGGCGGGGACGCGGGGAAGGCGGGGAAAGCGCGGAGAGCAGAAAGCAGACGAAGCGTTTCCCCCCAATAAAAAGCCCACCGCACCCTTGCCCCGCCGCACCATGCCCCACCGCACCATGCCCCACCGCGCCATGCCCCACCGCGCCATGCCCCACCGCGCCCCTGCCCCGCCGCTCCCTTGCCCCGCCGCCACTTCCACTGCTCCGCGACTAGCGCGACCACGTGCACGCCCGTTACAAGCACGTGGTTGCCACGTGACCAACCTGCTTGCAGTTCTTCAGCTTGAGCTTCCGCAGCAGCAGGCACTGCTCCGCCACGAGCGTGAGCGCCGCGTCATCAACGCTCTGCACGTTGCGGTCGCACTTCAGCACGAGCTTCTGCACCGCACAGAACCGCTCCAGCAGCCGCGGGAGCTGCTGCGTCAGCTCCGTCGCCGCCCGCAACGACAGGTTCGGCCGAGACTCCGAGTCCGTGCTGCAGTTTGGAAGCAAGTATGGGGCAGGTACGGAAATAGGTTCGGGAGAAGGTACGGAAATAGGTTCAAAAGTAGGTTCGGCGGATACTAGAGCCCGGACTGAGTTCCGCACGACAGTCTCACCTCATCCATCCGCCACACGCGCTTGACTTGTAGGTCGTCTCACGGGCCACCTTAACGTGAGACCAGACGTGACGGGAGCTGGTCAAATGAGACCAGACGTGACGGGAGCTGGTCAAATGAGACCAGACGTGGCGGGAACTCGGTCGCGCGAGACTGAGACTACAAGCGTGCCTCACCTCATCCATCTGCGACACACGAGCGAGCACGCTGCCAAGTCCGCCGCGTTCAGCTGCCGAAACACGGCCGCCAGGCAGTCGTCCGGCAGCAGCGAAATGAGGTTTTCCTCCGACGACGATGATGACGAAGCTGACGACGTCGCCGTGTCCGCGTGCGAAGGGTTACCACCCGTGCGACTGTCGAGCTCCAGCGAACAGTTCGACGCGCTGTCCTCGTCTTCGGAGTGATCCGAAACGGGTTTCTGAACCAGCGCCATTGGCGGCGAGTCCTACCGCTGCCGCAAGAGAATAAACCCCTTCCACGAAGCTTCGCGACCTTTCAAATCTCGACTGGCACAAAACCCCCCGCTCGCTTGAGCTCCCTTGAAGGCGCACCGAACGCGAAATGCGATAATACACGAGTGCTGCTGCGGTAGTTGAAGGCTCTGGAATACGTAACTGGAGTACCTAACTGGTAACTGAGGCTGTAGCCTGTAGGATAAACGCTCCAGCGAGGAACTGGAAAGCTCGATGCACCACGTCACTGTTCCAACTCCATAATAACTTCGAGAAGAGGTAAGCGCAACAGAATAACTACAAGGAGGCGGCGGTGATATTAGAGTCACTTCTTGTAGAACTCTCAGACGGGACTAGGAGATAAGGGCTTGAAGAACACGGCCAGTGCAAAGAGCTTCTGCTATTTCATGTCCGTGACGGTTTAGGAGGAAAGAATCAACGTGCTAGTTGTTCTTGTGACATAGACCAGCACATGACCAGCATTAGATTCTCCTCTCTGGCTCTTTCCATCACGATCAGCAACAGGTAGTAGATATAACAGAAACACGCGTAGCATGGGCATATGGGCTTCAGCTGGCGATAGTTGCGGGAGGAAGACGAATCGGAGGGTGGGGGGAGGCAGGAGGTTCGATCTGGGTGGGTGCAGCGAGTACGGCAGCATGCAGATCACGGAGGGAAAATCGGAGAGAAACACGGAAGGTGCAGGTTGGGAACTTGGTTGGGAGAGTCGGGACGACGAGGCTGGGGCGACCATGGGGCTGTGACATGGGGGTTTTTGGTTGGGTTGAGAGATGAGAACGAGAACTGCAGTGGTTGGCTTTTGTTGGGGGTTTGGCGGGGTATTGCTGGCTGGACCTAGGGAACTGGGGAAAGGGAGAGTACACGTATCTTTCGGGTGACTTGGTCAGGAAGGACTCGGTTCGGGTCGCGCACGCCGAGCCGACGGGTTGCGGTGTGGTTGTGGTGGAGAGGCAGCCATGCTGGCAAGCTCAACTACTGTGTGGCGGTGGTGATTCGTCGTTATGATTGTGTTAGCGGGTGGCGATTGTGTTTTCAAGTCCTGCTTTGCGAGGAAGAGGAGCCAGCAAAGAAGTAGCAGCTCAGCTGGTTCACTGCGCTAGAGTATGTTTTTACACGGTTCAAAGCGGTACTTATTCCTACGCTACGAACCGGACAAAACAGTGGTATGTCACCTGAAAATGAACTTGCGGGGCAAACCCTAACCAAATCTCGAGACCATAGTGCAGCAGCGCAAGTGCCCACTTCCTAAGGTTTGACTGCGTGACAGACCAACAGGCCTGGTGAATGGTGACGGCGACGTGCGAATCTCAACGCCGCGTTTGGCGGTTTGGTGGGGTGGCTCGGCACTCCTGGTTCGGAAGGATTCAGAGGTACGGGTTACGGTTTTTCTGGAGTGAGGGAATTGGGGTACGACACGACGTCTGGCGACGATTCTCTGACTGGAAAACCGCGCGGCGAGGGGAGCGTTGTAATGGATTGGATGCGACTGGTACGGGTGACAGTTGACGAGGCCTTGCGACTGGAGCGGCGGCGCTAGGTGTTGTGTGCTTCGCGGAGTGGCCCATGAAAGGTCAGGCTCATACGTGCTTGGCCGTAATCATCGACCCAGTTTCCAATTTTTTCGCGGGGCTAAAATGGGTAACAAGGTATTACTATTATCTACGAATGGTGAAACCTGGAGTTAAAATTTGCCAATTCTTTCACCCTACATGGACTGTCTATTTGTTAATTCCTTAAATTTCGATCTGCATCTCAGATAATGTCAGAACTGATTTGTTATTGACATTTCCTCATTTTTTATTTTACAACTTAAAGTGTGACTTTCATATAGGATTACTATCACTTTGTGCTAGTAATAACAGAGACTTGTATACTTCAGTAGATGAAGCGTAAAGGAGCCACACAACTGATTGATGGTTGGGGTTGGTGCTTGAGTTGGGCATGGTGGTGTACGGCAGGCGAACTGTTCAGCCGCTGGATCCATCCAGCAACGGTTTGGCATTTTATTGCCACATTCAGGACCCTTCACCAACGACAATCAGCCGTATCTATGATTCGCCCAGCCTTACAGTGGCTCACGTGGGAGAGGGGACCAATGCGGAAACCATCTGGATACCCTAAACGTTTGTGTGTATACCGGGTAAGAAAATATCCCTTGGTTCTGTGTTGGTGCTTGGTTTGTTCTACTCACGATTCATATTTCTTCTGCTACCCTGGTTTCCCACCACATCCGAGACCGTATCACACCCAGTGGTCGTCAGCACACACTGTCCCAGGTGTATGTACACAACGGGTCTCCGGTAATTCTTCCCAAACAAACCAGCTATGCCACGAAACCGCCCAGACAAAACCTACAAGCACGCACAAGTGGTTTGATTGGACGACCTTGTACACCAAATGTGGCTCGGAGGCACTGGTGCTGCAAAGAACCTTGCTCAACCAGGCCCAAACAACCACTGGCTTGGGTGATATTGTTTTTGTAACAAAATTGCATGCACTAGGGAGTAGTAAGGACGTGGGCCCAATCGAGTTTGATCGCGACTGATCTGATCGGGTCGGATCTGATCGGGTTGCTTGTGATCGCGTTTCCCGAGCCGCGCGATTAGAGATGTTTTTCGAAGAAGTTCATTAGCGGCTGCTCAGCAATCGCGATATATTTACCTAGCAGTTTCGTCCCCATTCTAGCGAGACTGACGACGAGAAGTCACCTGGCGAAAATATTAGTTTCACTGTAAGCGCAACATTGTAACAACTCGCAAGCGTCGCTGTGGGCTCCGATCACATGCAATCAAGTGATCGCCTGTGATCGAGGAAAATTGGCTCTGATCGGGGTACAAATCGGGTCTGATCGAGTTTGGGCGATCAGCTGATCGCAATCAGCTGATTCCCCCCGATTGCCTGAAATTGGCGTCCAGGCTTGGAAGTTCTTGATCGCGTGTGATCGAGGCGATCAGACTCGATTGAGCCCACGTCCTAAGAGAATTTTAGCAAAATGCTTGCGGGCCTGGTTTGACGGGACGCAAGGCGTGGCGAAGCGAACCGTCTCAGAATATCGAACCTCTCTGTCAATTCCCCTCAGTGAGAATCAAACCACATCGAAACTGCACATCCGGGGACGGAATGAAGTTACAGTGGTTCCGCTCCGCTACAGTGATTCCGCTCCAGCTGCGCCAACCTTCCTTCCGCTTCCCCCAACTAACCTCTGGCAACCTAGAGACTTCCTCGCACCTAGTTTCCTGATACCGTCGCGCAAGCGCCGCTCCTTTCTCATACTTGGTCTGCTCGGCACTCCCTAAGTTGACTGATCCTTCAACTTCGCGTAGTTGTTTCGGTGTGGGAACCAAGTAAGCTGCCGCCATCTCGCCGTTTCACTTGCTGCGTTAGAATCGATACTTCCAAGAGGCTTAGTTCGCCACGTTCAGTCTCGAAGAAGGCTCCAGTCCAGCTTCTTCTCACCTCTAACTTCTGCTGTACATATCAAGTCCCTCCCATTTCACTAGCTTAGACCCTTCGCTTCGATATTAGTCCCTCCCGTCTTATTACAGAACCTCCACTGACATTCCCCACTGAAGGTTACTAATGACGAGGCTTCGTATCTAACCCTAGCTCTTTAACACCTCAGGACAGTACGATTTTTTCGTTGATTTAAAATTAGGTCGACCAGCCGCCTATCACGAGTCGCAAAATTCTTTTCCCAACGGAGACTTGCATGTACAGTTCCCGCCATTCTTGTATTAGGAGATAATCTCCAGCAGCGATAGCGTCGGTTCATATACGCTCATTGCCCGGCCGCGGCCATTCAATAATCGTCTGGTCTTCCTCTAGCCTGATCTCCCTGTGTCGTCCTAATTTTCTCCTCGAATCGCGTCAGAAGAGCAGCTTCTGACAGTACGGCCGTTACGAGACGCCATGAACAGGTACGTGGCTTCCCGGCTTTATTTCCTTCTCCCCTATCCGTTTCTGTGCGTGCTCGCTCTGTTAGATCTGCCTGTTTTGTTCCGAGCTGTGGTAATAAAGGTGCAGGTAGAGACAGGTGGTAAGACGTCTAAGCAATTCCAGGAACACGTGTATGGGGTAGGTAATGACACGTGGAGGAACTGCAGAGTTAAAAGACGTCTTAAAATCACTCGGTCCTGCAGTTCGGCTGTGGACACGTGGAGCAGCGGTAGGGCACGTGGAGGAGCGGTAGAGTACGACGTTTGCGCCAAGCAGGGGTGGTCGGCAACGGCAGGGGTGGATGACAACGATAGGTTTTGGTGGAATCGATAAGGTCGATAAAAACGACAGGGTTGGACAAAAGGGAAAAGGGCGAATGGTTTCTTTGCGCGGATTGCCTCATTGCGCTGCGCCAATTAGGGATGGAGAAGGTTAGGGTGGAGAGAGGCGGACGGAGACGGTTAGGGTGGACGGAGACGGTTAGGGTGGACGGAAAAGGAAATGGTAGACAGAGACGGAAGGGGTTCGGATACGGTTAGGGTGGACGGAGGCGGGAAGGGTTGACGGAGACGGCAGGGATGGACGGAGACGATGGACGGGACCGGTACGGAGGACGCAGACAGTAAGGGTGGACGGAGGCGGTGGAGGTGACGAGTACCATGAGACTCTAGCGCAACTCTCGAGAAAACGCGAGCTGTTTTTACTCATACGCGTCGCTGCTTCCTGCGGCTCCCCTAACCAGCTCCTCATTATACCTTTCCCACTCGCCACAAACTCTTTCCTAAGGCGCCTTGGACAACAAAAAACTCTCGGCTTCTTCACAAGCTGATCGCTTATCGATTACAAGAGAAATCGTTTATCGATTACAAGGTTGGAACCGCGCGGGTTGCTGCAGATCGAACGCGTCGCCTTCTCTGCCCATGCATGTCCCGCTCGCCACGCGGCGTCCGCGACGTCGTGTGCTTGTCGTGTGCTTGTCGTAGAGCACTCGCGTGACGTCACTTAACAGCGCCTTCTCAAAGCGATTCGAAACACGTCTCAAATCGTCGAATGCTCGTCGAAGCGCTAGCTCCATCTGGGTCACGCAATATTGGACGCGTTCGTTCGTTGGGGGACGGAGTGTTTGAGTACAGTGTTATATTATCTTGGAAAGTGGTTTTATACGTGTACATACATGTTCCTCGTGCCTTGTATTCCCGCAGGTACAAGGTGATGAAGCAGCTGGGGGACGGCACTTACGGGACCGTGTGGAAAGCGCTTAACCTGCACACGAACGAGATTGTGAGTGTATAGTGTTTGGACCGAGAGGGTAAAGAGTGCAAGCAAGCGTTTTTTGAGAATTCTCAAAAAACACACGCTGTGTGGAAAGCGCTTAACCTGCACACGAACGAGATTGTGAGTGTATAGTGTTTGGACCGAGAGGGTAAAGAGTGCAAGCAAGCGTTTTTTGAGAATTCTCAAAAAACACACGCTGTGTGGAAAGCGCTTAACCTGCACACGAACGAGATTGTGAGTGTATACTGTTTGGACCGAGAGGGTAAAAGAGTGCAAGCAAGTGTTTTTTGAGAATTCTAAAAAAACACACGCTGTGTGGAAAGCGCTTAACCTGCACACGAACGAGATTGTGAGTGTATACTGTTTGGTTTGGACCGAGAGGGTAGACGAGTGCAAGCAATTCGACTCAATAGTCACCTCCGTTTGGAAGGCGCTTAACCCGCGCACGAACGAAGTGTTAAACAACCGAGGGTGTGGTGTGGGGTGCACAGTAATAAAAGTGTTGAGTATTTACAGAAAGTGTGCATGAGCCTGCGGGATTGGGGGGAAAACGTCATCTTGCACACCGCTTACCCCAGTTCATGTCTGACCCCCTCATCCCATCTCCAACACATTCCCCCGCCCCCTCTCTCTCCCGAACACATTCCCCCTCCCCCTCTTTCTCCCGCTCTTTCTCCTCCCCACTCGTGTAACGAGTGCATGAGCTTGCGACAAGTAGGGCGTCTCACTTACACCCTGCACTCCCCCCTCCCTCCCTCGACCTCGCTCCTCCCTTCGTCTCCCCAGGTTGCTGTGAAGAAGATGAAGCGCAAGTTCTATTCATGGGACGAGCGCATGAGCCTGCGAGAGAGCAAGGGCATATCCCCACTCCCCGTTCACCTTCCCCTCGCATGTCCGTCCCGCTCCCCCTCTCCCCATTCCTCCCTTTCCCCCCCACCCCCAGGTTGCTGTCAAGAAGATGAAGCGCAAGTTCTATTCATGGGACGAGTGCATGAGCCTGCGAGAGGTCAAGGTACGCATGAGGAGAAAGTGGGGGAGGCGAAGGAGGGGAAGAGACTGGGGGAGAAATGGGTGGGAAAGCAAGGGAAGGAAGGGGACGAGTGCATGAGCCTGCGAGAGGTCAAGGTATGCAGGAGGAGAAGGCGGGAAAGGCGGCGTAAGGAGTGGTGGGGAGAAGGGATGGGGATGACGGAGGAGGGACGGAGAAAAGGGCGGGACGGAAAGAAGGAGGAGGGGAGAAGGAAGGGGATGAGTTCATGAACCTGCGAGAGGACAAGGTAGGCAGGAGGGGAAGCGGGGATAAGGCGGCGTAGGGGGTGTGGAAGGAGGGGCGTGGGAATGGGGATGGAGGGGGAGGGGTTGGGGAAAATACATACGAAGGGGACGAGTGCGTGAGCCTGGGAGGTGGCCAGGAGGGGAAGGCGGGGAAAGACCGCGAGTTGACTTTTGAGTCGACTCAAGAGTGCGTGAGCCTGGGAGGTGGCCGGGAGGTGGCCAGGAGGGGAAGGCGGGGAAAGACCAGACCGCGCAAGGAATGAGGAAGGAGGGGGAGGGACGGGTCACGGGGGAAAAAGCGCGAAGCGAAAGGAAGGTGAAAGGATTGTGTGGAAGGGGAAGGCAGGAATTTGGTAGGAAGGAAGGATGATGTTCAACCCAAACATGTTCAACCCAAACATGTTCAACCCGAACATGTTCAACCCGAACATGTTCAACCCGAACATGTTCAACCCAACCCTGAAAGATGTTATACCATCTCCACTCGATTAGTGGTCGTTATTCCTCCTTAGCCCCTTCCTCCCTCCTCTTTTCCCCATGCCTACCACCAGTCGCCGCGCAAGCTGAACCACCCCAACATAGTGCGACTCAAGGAGGCAAACTGTCCCTTTCTTTCCCCTCTCCCCCCTCTCCCTCTCTCCCCTTACTCCTCAACCCCCCTTCACCTTTCGCCCCATACTCCTCAACCCCCCTCCCCGCTCCCCCCTTCCGCCAGTCGCTGCGCAAGCTGAACCACCCCAACATAGTGCGGCTGAAGGAGGTGATTCGAGAAAACAACGAACTCTTCTTCATATTCGAATTCATGGTGAGGCGATGGGGGGGAGCGGGCTGGGAGGGGGGTTGAATGAATGAGGGGTGGAAGGAGCCGGGTTAAAAGCACACAGAACGCTTGTAGCAAGCTGTACCACCCCGACATAGTGCGGCTGAAGGAGGTGATCCGAGAAAACAAGGAGCTTTTCTTCATTTTCGAATTCATGGTGAGGCAGTGAGCGGGGGGGGGGGGGGGGAAAGAGTGCAGATGAATGATTGACAGAGCGCGCTCGCGCGCGCAGCGCGCGTGTGTGTGTGTGTGTGTGTGTGCACGCCCACATGCGAGGGCAGGAGTGCAACCTGTAGCATCTGATGAAGGACAGAGAGACCTACTGTCTACCCACTGTCCTATGAGCACAGTGCCTCACAACCACTCCCTTCCTCCTCTCTCTCTTCTCCTGTGTCCTCTCTTCTCCTGTGTCCTCTCTTCTCCTGTGTCCTCTCTTCTCCTGTGTCCTCTCTTCTCCTGTGTCCTCTCTTCTCCTGTGTCCTCTCTTCTCCTGTGTCCTCTCTTCTCCTGTGTCCTCTCTTCTCCTGTGTCCTCTCTTCTCCTGTGTCCTCTCTTCTCCTGTGTCCTCTCTTCTCCTGTGTCCTCTCTTCTCCTGTGTCCTCTCTTCTCCTGTGTCCTCTCTTCTCCTGTGTCCTCTCTTCTCCTGTGTCCTCTCTTCTCCTGTGTCCTCTCTTCTCCTGTGTCCTCTCTTCTCCTGTGTCCTCTCTTCTCCTGTGTCCTCTCTTCTCCTGTGTCCTCTCTTCTCCTGTGTCCTCTCTTCTCCTGTGTCCTCTCTTCTCCTGTGTCCTCTCTTCTCCTGTGTCCTCTCTTCTCCTGTGTCCTCTCTTCTCCTGTGTCCTCTCTTCTCCTGTGTCCTCTCTTCTCCTGTGTCCTCTCTTCTCCTGTGTCCTCTCTTCTCCTGTGTCCTCTCTTCTCCTGTGTCCTCTCTTCTCCTGTGTCCTCTCTTCTCCTGTGTCCTCTCTTCTCCTGTGTCCTCTCTTCTCCTGTGTCCTCTCTTCTCCTGTGTCCTCTCTTCTCCTGTGTCCTCTCTTCTCCTGTGTCCTCTCTTCTCCTGTGTCCTCTCTTCTCCTGTGTCCTCTCTTCTCCTGTGTCCTCTCTTCTCCTGTGTCCTCTCTTCTCCTGTGTCCTCTCTTCTCCTGTGTCCTCTCTTCTCCTGTGTCCTCTCTTCTCCTGTGTCCTCTCTTCTCCTGTGTCCTCTCTTCTCCTGTGTCCTCTCTTCTCCTGTGTCCTCTCTTCTCCTGTGTCCTCTCTTCTCCTGTGTCCTCTCTTCTCCTGTGTCCTCTCTTCTCCTGTGTCCTCTCTTCTCCTGTGTCCTCTCTTCTCCTGTGTCCTCTCTTCTCCTGTGTCCTCTCTTCTCCTGTGTCCTCTCTTCTCCTGTGTCCTCTCTTCTCCTGTGTCCTCTCTTCTCCTGTGTCCTCTCTTCTCCTGTGTCCTCTCTTCTCCTGTGTCCTCTCTTCTCCTGTGTCCTCTCTTCTCCTGTGTCCTCTCTTCTCCTGTGTCCTCTCTTCTCCTGTGTCCTCTCTTCTCCTGTGTCCTCTCTTCTCCTGTGTCCTCTCTTCTCCTGTGTCCTCTCTTCTCCTGTGTCCTCTCTTCTCCTGTGTCCTCTCTTCTCCTGTGTCCTCTCTTCTCCTGTGTCCTCTCTTCTCCTGTGTCCTCTCTTCTCCTGTGTCCTCTCTTCTCCTGTGTCCTCTCTTCTCCTGTGTCCTCTCTTCTCCTGTGTCCTCTCTTCTCCTGTGTCCTCTCTTCTCCTGTGTCCTCTCTTCTCCTGTGTCCTCTCTTCTCCTGTGTCCTCTCTTCTCCTGTGTCCTCTCTTCTCCTGTGTCCTCTCTTCTCCTGTGTCCTCTCTTCTCCTGTGTCCTCTCTTCTCCTGTGTCCTCTCTCTCCCTTTCTCACTACGTCTGGCTGTGACGGCAGGAGTGCAACCTGTACCATCTGATGAAGGACAGAGAGACCTACTTTCAAGAATCCACCATTCGAAACTGGATGTACCAGGTAAGCCGGCCAGGCGCGTTGATTTCTGGGTTGTCTTGAAGTCAACTGGGCTATACTCGTATCACACAAGCACTCATGAGTTGACAGTTGACTGCACGCAGAGAGACTCGCTGACGTTCTGTTCTGTTCTGCCTCGTCCTTCTCCCTGTCCTGTCCCCCCCCGCCAGGTGCTACTAGGCCTGGCGCACATGCACAAGCACGGCTACTTCCACCGCGACCTCAAGCCAGGTGGGTGGTTGAGAGGGGTTGAGGCAGGTTGGGGGGTTGAGGCAGGTGGGGGGTTGAGGCAGGTGGGGGGTTGAGGCAGGTGGGGGGTTGAGGCATGTGGGGGAGGCAGGTGGGGGGAGGCAGATTGGGGGAGGCAGATGGGGGGAGGCAGATGGGGGGAGGCAGATGGGGGAGGCAGATGGGGAAGGCAGATGGGGGGAGACAGGTGGGGGGAGGCAAATGGGGGGAGGCAGATGGATGAGGGTGGGTCTGATTTCCGCCTGACAAGAGAGATCAAGTCCCGGCCTCCCTTCACATAGTCTGTTCCCTGCCATCGCACGTGTGCCAGTCATCGGAGATTACTTTTGAGTCGACTCAAAAGTCATCCTGTTCCCTGCCATCGCATGTGTGCCAGTCATCCGCCCGTCCATGTGTTACCTGCTTCCTTCCCATCCATGCGTGTCCAGAGAACCTGCTAGTGACCAAGGACCTGATTAAAGTTGCGGATTTCGGCCTGGCAAGGGAGATCAAGTCGCGGCCTCCTTTCACAGACTACGTGTCTACCCGATGGTGGGTGGTGTGGGTTTGGGCTGGTGGTGGTGGTTAGGGGTTAGGTTGGTGGGTTGAGCGCGGGTGGGTGTTGTGGGGATGGGTTGGTGGGGGAAAAGGGGTCATTGTGGGATGCATTGTGAGGAAGGGAGATCAAGTCCCGGCCTCCCTTCACAGACCATGTGTCCACCCGATGGTGGGTTGGCTGGCGGTGGGGGCGGGCTGGTGATTTGGAGTTTGGGGGTTCAGTGTTGTGGGGTTCGGTGTGTGGGTGGTGGTGTGGTGTGTGAGGGTGGGTGAGTGTCGGCCTGGCAAGGGAGATCAAGTCGCGGCCTCCCTTCACAGACGATGTGTCTACCCGATGGTGGGTTGGCGGTGGGGGCGGGCTGGTGGTGCTGTGTGGTTTGGGGGGTGGGTGGTGTGAGGATGCGGGGTTTGGGGGTTCAATGATGTGGGGTTGGGTGTATGGGTGGTGTGTGTGAGTGGGTGAGTGCTGGCCTGGCAAGGGAGATCAAGTCCCGGCCTCCCTTCACAGACGATGTGTCCACCCGATGGTGTGTGGTGTGGGTGGTGTGGTGTGGGAATGGGTTGGCAGGTTCGTGGGTGGGTAGTTAGGTGAGTGGTGTGAGGGTGGTTGGGGTTGGGCGCATGGGTCTTGTCACCTTTGTATTTCTTTCGAAAACCCTCCTCCCCACTCCCTTTACCCCTCTTCCCTCCCGCCCCCCCCTCCCGCCCTCCCACCCCTTCCCCCCTCCTCCTTGTCGTTCCCAACTCCCCTTCTGTGTTTCTTTGCCTCTTCCGCACGCATTTCGTTTTCCTTCCACCCTCCCGTTTCCGCTCGTTCTCTCATTCTGCTCTCATCCTCCTTCCGTCCTCCTCTCATCCTCCCTCTCTTCCCTTCCATCCCGCCCACTCCCTCTCATGCTCCCTCCCATGCTCCCTCCCATCCTCCCTCTCTCGTTCTTCTCTCATCGTCTCTCTCACTTTCCCTCTCAGCATCCCTCTCGTTTTCCCTCTTGTGTGCTCTGTCATGTCACCTCAGGTATCGAGCACCAGAGGTGTTACTTCAGTCAACAGTTTACAACGCCCCAATAGGTGTGCGGCAGCTTGCTTTAGTAGCTTGCGTTGGTAGCCAAGGGTGCGGTTTGCTGTGGTAGATTGCTTTGATAGCTTGCTTCGTTAACTTTCTTTAATAGCTTGCATTGCCAATTGTTTGGGATTTGCTGCCTGAATACGTGCAGTCTCATCATACCACTTAATATTCTGTAATGCTTGATCTCCCTTCCCCACTCCCCTACCCCTCCCCTCTCCTCCCCTCCCCTCCCCTCCCACACTCCCTCCCCTTCCTGCCCCTCCCCCCCCTCCCCCTCCCCCATACCTCTTGGCCCGCTCTCCACCCTCCCCCTTCCCCTGTACCCATGCAGACATGTGGGCAATAGGAGCAATCATGGCAGAGCTCTTCACACTCGAACCACTCTTCCCCGGGGCAAGGTAATTGCTCCTAGCAATTAATCCGTAATGCTTTGTATTCCCCTCCCTGAACCCCCCCGCAATCTCCTCCCTACCCTCTCCCACCTCCCCGTTTCCCATCTCCATCCCTCCTCTCCCCTGCTCCCTTCCCCACTCCTCAACCCACAATGTCCCATTTTTTGCCAAATAGGCCTCCCATTGGATGTTAGTCTGATGAACGCCCACCCCCAGGACATGGTCACCGTTGTCATGGCTGACTTGACAACTCCACTCCACTTCCCTACGCGTGTTCTCCTCTCCCCTTCCCTTCCACACACGCCAGTGAGATCGATGAGATTCTCAAGATCTGCGCTGACATCGGCACGCCCACCCCCAGGACATAGCCACAGTTGTCATGGCTGACTTTACAGTTCCACTCCACTTCCCGCCACGCGTTTTCCTCTTCCTTGCCTTGCATACGTTTGCCTCCCTTTTCCGCTCCCTTCCGCTCCCCACGCCAGTGAGATCGACGAGATTCTCAAGATATGCGCTGTCATCAGTACACCAACCCCCAGGACATGGCCGATTTGACAGAATCGCACTGACTTCCCTACATGCGTGTTCCTCTCCCTTCCCTTCTTCTCCCTTCCCTTCCACCTACCAGTGAGATCGATGAGATTCTCAAGATCTGCGCTGTCATCGGCACGCCCACCCCCAGGACGTGGCCCCAGGGCCTCCGTCTCGCAGCTTCCATGAACTTTCGCTTCCCTGAGGTGTGCTTGCTTCCCACCTAGCCCTGCATGCTGTCGTGCCCATGCCATGCCATGCCATGCCATGTCGTGATGTGCCATGCCATGCCATGTCGTGATGTGCCACGCCATGCCATGCCATGCCATGCCATGCCATGTCGTGATGTGCCATGCCATGCCATGCCATGCCATGCCATGTCGTGATGTGCCATGCCATGCCATGCCATGTCGTGATGTGCCATGCCATGCCATGCCATGCCATGCCATGTCGTGATGTGCCATGCCGCGCGATGCCATGCCATGCCATGCCATGCCATGCCATGCCATGCCATGCCATGCCAAGCCATGCCATGCCATGCCATGTCGTGATGTGCCATGCCGCGCTATGCCATGCCATGCCATGCCATGCCATGCCATGTCGTGATGTGCCATGCCGCGCTATGCCATGCCATGCCATGCTATGCCATGTCATGATTTGCCATGCCGCGCTATGCCATGCCATGCCATGTCATGATTTGCCATGCCGCGCTGTGCCATGCCATGCCATGCCATGCCATGTCATGATTTGCCATGCCGCGCTGTGCCATGCCATGCCATGCCATGCCATGCCATGTCATGATTTGCCATGCCGCGCTGTGCCATGCCATGCCATGCCATGCCATGCCGTGACTGCCTTCTGCTCCTAGGAGCCCTGCCACGTGCCACAACACTCCATCCCCACTCTTACCCCCTTCAGTACTCGCCCATCCCGCTCGCTCAAATCATGCTCATGGCATCAGACGACGAGGCGGTCAACCTGGTGTCTGCTCTCTGCTCCTGGGACCCCACCAACTCTCATGCTCATCCCCCACTCTTCCTTCCCCCCCCCCCTCCAACTCCCACCCACAACCCCCCACCCATCTCCCCGCAATTCTCCCCCTTCAGTACTCGCCCATCCCGCTCGCTCAAATCATGCCCATGGCATCAGACGAGGCAGTCGACCTGGTGACCGCTCTCTGCTCCTGGGACCCTGCAAGGCGCCCCTCCGCTGCCCAGGCGCTGCAACACCCCTTCTTCCTGGTGAGAGCATGACTGTGGCCGTACGCATGTGTAATCATGGGTTTGAAGGGGATTCAGGGAGGGGCATATAGTGTGATAGAGAGGAGCAGTCGACCTGGTCACTGCTCTTTGCTCCTGGGACCCTGCAAGGCGCCCCTCTGCTGCCCAGGCGCTGCAACACCCCTTCTTCCTGGTGAGAGGCCGTGGCTGTGTGTGTGTGTGTGTGTGTGTGTGAGTGTGTGTGTGTGTGTGAGTGTGTGTGTGTGTGAGTGTGTGTGAGTGTGTGTGTGTGTGTGAGTGTGTGTGTGTGTGTGAGTGTGTGTGTGTGAGTGTGTGTGTGTGTGAGTGTGTGTGTGTGTGTGTGTGTGTGTGTGTGTGTGTGTCTATGGGTTCGATGGGGATTCACAAGGCAGGATCTAGTGTAGTGTGATGGGGAGGAGCAGTCGACCTGGTGACCGCTCTCTGCTCCTGGGACCCCGCAAAGCGCCCCTCTGCTTTGAGGTGTGTTTTGAGGCGCCTCAAAACACACCTCAATGCGGGAGAAACAGTCGACCTGGTGACCGCTCTCTGTTCCTGGGTCCCCGCAAGGCGCCCCTCTGCTGCGCAGTCGCTGCAGCACCCCTTCTTCCTGGTGAGAGAAACCTTGGCAGGCAGTGGGTGTGTGGGGCGGGTAGGATTTATAAGGGGGAATGAAAACGGGTAAGGAGTGGTGGGGAGGAAGGTTGATATAGGCAAGCAGTCAGCCGCATGACTGCCCATTGCTGGCCACTGACGCCCTGTGTTCCCTCCCCCCTCTTCTCTTTCCTGCTGCCCCTTCTCTTCCCCCCCTCCTCCCGAGCAGAAGGGAGTGACGCTCCCCTACACACCCAAGAAGCCCAAATCCTCCTCCTCTTCCGCCGCCACCACCGGTCCCGTCGTCCCCATCACCACGCCCTCTCAGCTCGCCGCTGCCTCCCACGCTGCCCTCTCCGGCTCTCTCGGTCTCTCCGACCCAGGGCAAACCTTCCTGCAGCCTATGCCACGTGCTGTTGCCTCTCCCCTGCATGGAGCAGGAGCAGGACCAGGGGCGGGACTGGGGCAGCGGCAAGGTCAAGGGCAAGGGCAGGGGTATGTGACAGAGCAGCAGCAGCAGCTGCAGCAGCAGCAACAGGTTCCAGTTCCGAAGCTGTACCAGGCACAGCCGCAGCAACTGCAACAGCAGCAGCAACAGCAACAGCAGCAGCAACTTCAGCAGCAGCAGCAGCAGCAGTACCAGCAGCAACCCCAGCAACCCCAGCAACCCCAGCAGCATCTGTTGAGTCCCACGACTCAGCTGAGCCCGAGAATACAGCAGAGCCCTCTGCAGGACGGCGAACCACTGAGCCCTCACATGCTCCCCAGCCCCCTCCACGCCGCCCTCTCCCAGACACAGGTGCAGGGGCAGGGAATGGGAATAGGGCAGGGGGGAGGGCAGGGGCAGAGGGAGGGCGGGCAGGTGCGGAAATGGCACCAGCAGGAGCAGAAAACGGGGGGGCAGTTGCAGCAGCCGCTGCAGCAGCCAGTGCAGCAGATGGGGGGACAGATGGGGCCCGGGCAGGGGCAGGGGCAGGGGCAGATGGTGCCGGGCGGAGGGTTAGCAATGGGGGGATACGGGTTGGGAGGGCAGGGAGGAGGGGGCTATGGGTTGGGAGGACAAGGATCAGGGGGTGATTATGAGCAGGGAGGGAGTCTGGGTAACAGGGCAGGGGCGTACCAGCAAGGTTCGCTGTCTCCCCTCCACCTACAGTCACAATCATCACAATCACAGTCTCAATTACAGTCACAAATGCAGGCACAAGTACAAGTGCAGCTGCAAGCACAGTTACAGGCGCAGTTGCAGTTACAGTCGCACCAGCCCCAGATGCAACCTCCCCCACGCTCCCCCCAACGATCCACCTCCCAGAACCCACCCCGATCGCCTCTGCGCTCGCCCCTCCACTCCCCCATGCTCTCCCCTGTGCACCCTTCGTTAGAGGGGTCTGCTGTAAGGGCCTTACAAGCGCCTCAGGCTACCCAGCAGTCCCAGCAGGGACACTATCAGGGGCAGCAGCAGTATCAGGGGCAGCAATATCAGGGGCAGTACCCTCCTCAACAGCAGTACCAGCAGCAGCAACAGTACCAGCAGCAGCAGCAGTACCAGCAGCAGTATCAGCAGCAAGAGCAGGGATATATGGAGCGGGCAGATGAGGGAGGAGCAGGGGGGGGGTACGCAGATGGGGGGGCAGACGGAACAGGAGCAGGCGGAGGGGGAGGGGGTGGAAAGTCGGAAAAGCGAGGGTTTTTCTCGCGAAAACTGGGCGGGTCGAAGAGTGTAGGCAGGAATAACCCCCCGGGTGATGGCAAGGGAGGGGGAGGCGGGGGAGGAGGAGGGGGAGGTGGGGGAGGTGGAGGAGGAGGAGGGGGGGTTAGCAAACTTGCTTCATTGCAACGATACGGAAGCCAATTACTAGGTGGGCCACATTCCCGAGTTGACTTTTGAGTCGACCCAAAAGTCAACTAGGTGGGGGAGGAGGAGGGGTTAGCAAGCTTGCTTCGTTGCAACGAAACGGAAGCCAATTGTTAGGTGGGCTGTCTATGCTCCACTATGTTCCACTCCCTTGTTCAGTTGCCTCGAAGGCAATTACTAGGTGATACGCCTTGAGAAGCCTTGACCCATGTCGGGCCATCCAATGCATTCCATGGCATTCCATGCCATGCCATGTGCTGCCATGGCCTTGTTTCACTCTCCTCCTTCTCTCTCCCCTCTCTCCTTACCCCAACCCCAACCCCAACCCCATGACTCTCCCTCCATATGCCCTTATGTCCTTCCCTCCCCATGTGCTCTGTGTCCCATGCTCTCTCTGTGTCCCATGCTCTCTCTGTGTCCCATGCTCTCTCTCTGTGTCCCATGCTCTCTCTGTGTCCCATGCTCTCTCTGTGTCCCATGCTCTCTGTGTGTCCCATGCTCTCTGTGTGTCCCATGCTCTCTGTGTGTCCCATGCTCTCTCTGTGTCCCATGCTCTCTCTGTGTCCCATGCTCTCTCTCTGTGTCCCATGCTCTCTCTGTCCCATGCTCTCTCTGTGTCCCATGCTCTCTCTCTGTATCCCATGCTCTCTCTCTGTGTCCCATGCTCTCTCTCTGTGTCCCATGCTCTCTCTCTGTGTCCCATGCTCTCTCTGTGTCCCATGCTCTCTCTCTGTGTCCCATGCTCTCTCTCTGTGTCCCATGCTCTCTCTCTGTGTCCCATGCTCTCTCTCTGTGTCCCATGCTCTCTCTCTGTGTCCCATGCTCTCTCTCTGTGTCCCATGCTCTCTCTCTGTATCCCATGCTCTCTCTCTGTGTCCCATGCTCTCTCTCTGTGTCCCATGCTCTCTCTCTCTGTCCCATGCTCTCTCTCTGTGTCCCATGCTCTCTCTCTGTGTCCCATGCTCTCTCTCTGTGTCCCATGCTCTCTCTCTGTGTCCCATGCTCTCTCTCTGTGTCCCATGCTCTCTCTCTGTGTCCCATGCTCTCTCTCTGTGTCCCATGCTCTCTCTCTGTATCCCATGCTCTCTCTCTGTATCCCATGCTCTCTCTCTGTGTCCCATGCTCTCTCTCTGTGTCCCATGCTCTCTCTCTGTATCCCATGCTCTCTCTCTGTATCCCATGCTCTCTCTCTGTATCCCATGCTCTCTCTCTGTGTCCCATGCTCTCTCTCTGTGTCCCATGCTCTCTCTCTGTATCCCATGCTCTCTCTCTGTATCCCATGCTCTCTCTCTGTATCCCATGCTCTCTCTCAGTATCCCATGCTCTCTCTCTGTATCCCATGCTCTCTCTCTGTATCCCATGCTCTCTCTCTGTATCCCATGCTCTCTCTCTGTATCCCATGCTCTCTCTCTGTATCCCATGCTCTCTCTCTGTATCCCATGCTCTCTCTCTGTATCCCATGCTCTCTCTCTGTATCCCATGCTCTCTCTCTGTATCCCATGCTCTCTCTCTGTATCCCATGCTCTCTCTCTGTATCCCATGCTCTCTCTCTGTATCCCATGCTCTCTCTCTGTATCCCATGCTCTCTCTCTGTATCCCATGCTCTCTCTCTGTATCCCATGCTCTCTCTCTGTATCCCATGCTCTCTCTCTGTATCCCATGCTCTCTCTCTGTATCCCATGCTCTCTCTCTGTATCCCATGCTCTCTCTCTGTATCCCATGCTCTCTCTCTGTATCCCATGCTCTCTCTCTGTATCCCATGCTCTCTCTCTGTATCCCATGCTCTCTCTCTGTATCCCATGCTCTCTCTCTGTGTCCCATGCTCTCTCTCTGTGTCCCATGCTCTCTCTCTGTCCCATGCTCTCTCTCTGTGTCCCATGCATTCTCTCTGTGTCCCATGCTCTCTCTCTGTATCCCATGCTCTCTCTCTGTCCCATGCTCTCTCTCTGTGTCCCATGCTCTCTCTCTGTGTCCCATGCTCTCTCTCTGTGTCCCATGCTTTCTCTCTGTGTCCCATGCTCTCTCTCTGTGTCCCATGCTCTCTCTCTGTGTCCCATGCTCTCTCTCTGTGTCCCATGCTCTCTCTCTGTGTCCCATGCTCTCTCTCTGTGTCCCATGCTCTCTCTCTGTATCCCATGCTCTCTCTCTGTATCCCATGCTCTCTCTCTGTGTCCCATGCTCTCTCTCTGTGTCCCATGCTCTCTCTCTGTATCCGATGCTCTCTCTCTGTATCCCATGCTCTCTCTCTGTATCCCATGCTCTCTCTCTGTGTCCCATGCTCTCTCTCTGTGTCCCATGCTCTCTCTCTGTATCCCATGCTCTCTCTCTGTATCCCATGCTCTCTCTCTGTGTCCCATGCTCTCTCTCTGTGTCCCATGCTCTCTCTCTGTGTCCCATGCTCTCTCTCTGTGTCCCATGCTCTCTCTCTGTGTCCCATGCTCTCTCTCTGTATCCCATGCTCTCTCTCTGTGTCCCATGCTCGCTCTCTGTGTCCCATGCTCTCTCTCTGTGTCCCATGCTCTCTCTCTGTGTCCCATGCTCTCTCTCTGTGTCCCATGCTCTCTCTCTGTGTCCCATGCTCTCTCTCTGTGTCCCATGCTCTCTCTCTGTGTCCCATGCTCTCTCTCTGTGTCCCATGCTCTCTCTCTGTATCCCATGCTCTCTCTCTGTATCCCATGCTCTCTCTCTGTGTCCCATGCTCTCTCTCTGTGTCCCATGCTCTCTCTCTGTATCCCATGCTCTCTCTCTGTATCCCATGCTCTCTCTCTGTATCCCATGCTCTCTCTCTGTATCCCATGCTCTCTCTCTGTGTCCCATGCTCTCTCTCTGTGTCCCATGCTCTCTCTCTGTATCCCATGCTCTCTCTCTGTATCCCATGCTCTCTCTCTGTGTCCCATGCTCTCTCTCTGTGTCCCATGCTCTCTCTCTGTATCCCATGCTCTCTCTCTGTATCCCATGCTCTCTCTCTGTGTCCCATGCTCTCTCTCTGTGTCCCATGCTCTCTCTCTGTATCCCATGCTCTCTCTCTGTATCCCATGCTCTCTCTCTGTATCCCATGCTCTCTCTCTGTATCCCATGCTCTCTCTCTGTGTCCCATGCTCTCTCTCGGTGTCCCATGCTCTCTCTCTGTATCCCATGCTCTCTCTCTGTATCCCATGCTCTCTCTCTGTGTCCCATGCTCTCTCTCTGTGTCCCATGCTCTCTCTCTGTGTCCCATGCTCTCTCTCTCTGTCCCATGCTCTCTCTCTGTATCCCATGCTCTCTCTCTGTATCCCATGCTCTCTCTCTGTGTCCCATGCTCTCTCTCTGTGTCCCATGCTCTCTCTCTGTATCCCATGCTCTCTCTCTGTATCCCATGCTCTCTCTCTGTATCCCATGCTCTATCTCTGTATCCCATGCTCTCTCTCTGTATCCCATGCTCTCTCTCTGTATCCCATGCTCTCTCTCTGTATCCCATGCTCTCTCTCTGTATCCCATGCTCTCTCTCTGTATCCCATGCTCTCTCTCTGTGTCCCATGCTCTCTCTCTGTATCCCATGCTCTCTCTCTGTGTCCCATGCTCTCTCTCTGTATCCCATGCTCTCTCTCTGTGTCCCATGCTCTCTCTCTGTATCCCATGCTCTCTCTCTGTATCCCATGCTCTCTCTCTGTATCCCATGCTCTCTCTCTGTATCCCATGCTCTCTCTCTGTATCCCATGCTCTCTCTCTGTATCCCATGCTCTCTCTCTGTATCCCATGCTCTCTCTCTGTATCCCATGCTCTCTCTCTGTGTCCCATGCTCTCTCTCTGTGTCCCATGCTCTCTCTCTGTGTCCCATGCTCTCTCTCTGTATCCCATGCTCTCTCTCTGTATCCCATGCTCTCTCTCTGTATCCCATGCTCTCTCTCTGTGTCCCATGCTCTCTCTCTGTGTCCCATGCTCTCTCTCTGTATCCCATGCTCTCTCTCTGTATCCCATGCTCTCTCTCTGTGTCCCATGCTCTCTCTCTGTGTCCCATGCTCTCTCTCTGTATCCCATGCTCTCTCTCTGTATCCCATGCTCTCTCTCTCTGTCCCATGCTCTCTCTCTGTGTCCCATGCTCTCTCTCTGTATCCCATGCTCTCTCTCTGTATCCCATGCTCTCTCTCTGTATCCCATGCTCTCTCTCTGTATCCCATGCTCTCTCTCTGTGTCCCATGCTCTCTCTCTGTGTCCCATGCTCTCTCTCTGTATCCCATGCTCTCTCTCTGTGTCCCATGCTCTCTCTCTGTATCCCATGCTCTCTCTCTGTGTCCCATGCTCTCTCTCTGTATCCCATGCTCTCTCTCTGTATCCCATGCTCTCTCTCTGTATCCCATGCTCTCTCTCTGTATCCCATGCTCTCTCTCTGTATCCCATGCTCTCTCTCTGTATCCCATGCTCTCTCTCTGTATCCCATGCTCTCTCTCTGTATCCCATGCTCTCTCTCTGTATCCCATGCTCTCTCTGTGTATCCCATGCTCTCTCTCTGTATCCCATGCTCTCTCTCTGTATCCCATGCTCTCTCTCTGTATCCCATGCTCTCTCTCTGTGTCCCATGCTCTCTCTCTGTATCCCATGCTCTCTCTCTGTATCCCATGCTCTCTCTCTGTATCCCATGCTCTCTCTCTGTATCCCATGCTCTCTCTCTGTATCCCATGCTCTCTCTCTGTATCCCATGCTCTCTCTCTCTGTATCCCATGCTCTCTCTCTGTATCCCAGGCATGGCCCGCCATTCCGCGTCTGCCTCTGTCAACTCATCGAATGCGATCGGCTCCATATCCACTAGATCCGTAAGAACACCATGCATCCATTTGCACCGCTGTGCATCCATCAGCACTGCTGTGCATCCATCAACACCGCTGTGCATCCATCAGCACTGCTGTGCATCCATCAGCACCGCTGTGCATCCATCAGCACTGCTGTGCATCCATCAGCACTGCTGTGCATCCATCAGCACTGCTGTGCATCCATCAGCACTGCTGTGCATCCATCAGCACCTCCGTGCATCCTTCAGCACCACTGTGCATCCATTCACCCTGCGTTTGCTTGCTAAGAATCCCATGCCAGCTCTTCTCTCACTCTCCCAACCCCCTTCCCCTCTCCATCCTCGCACTTTTGTATATCATTCAAACCCACACAACCCCTCCAAACCCCACACTACCCACCTCACAACCCCTCTAAACCACCCACCACCCCTCCTTCCCCTCCCATGTGCCTTCTGTTTCAGGACAAGTCAATATTCAGCCAGCCAAAGCAACTCCTCCTACCTCCCCGCTCTCCCCCCCCCCCCCCCCCTCCCCCCCCCCTTCCCCCCCCCAATCCTCCCCTAACCCCGCCTAAACACCCCCACCCCCGTCTCCCCCTCCCCCCCCCCCAACACCCCCTTTTTCCCTCCCCCGCCCCTTCTGTTTCAGGACAAGTCAGTCTCAGCCAGCCAAAGCAACTCTGCAGGAGCAGGTGAGCCGTTGAATCAGACTTTGCGTTGAATCAGACTTTGCGTTGAATGAAATCGCTAAGTGCAGTACGCACATGCTTCTTTCCTATATGTATTCGTTTAGCTACTATGCCATCTCGTATAATCCGTCTCACATCCGATCCACCTTATTCCCGCTTTTCACTAATTTCCAGCTTCAACTGCCCCTCCGGACCCCTCCCCGTCCCCCTCCCCGTCCCCCTCCCCGTCCCCCTCCCCGTCCCCGTCCCCGTCCCCCTCCCCGTCCCCGTCCCCCTCCCCGTCCCCGTCCCCGTCCCCGTCCCTCTCCCCCTCCCCCTCCCCCTCCCCCTCCCCCTCCCACCCCCCCCTCCTCCTCTATCTGCCCTCCCCTCACACTTCAATTCCGCTTTTGCAATACCCTCTTCCAACTTTCGCTTTTAATGCACTGCCCTGCCCTGCCCACTGCACTGCCCACTTTCCCATTCCCCCATGGGCCTCTTCCTCTCCCACCCCTTGCCTTGCCTTCCCCACCCCCGTCCAAATCGCCAGTGCTCTCTCGCTCTGGCTCCGTGGTTGAGTCTGCCTCTCCACCCGCCTCGCCTCACCAGCTCGCTGATATCGGCAGGTACGAGCGTGCGCTGTGTGTGAAACATGTGCGCTGTGTGTGAAACATGTGCGCTGTGTGTGAAACATGTGCGCTGTGTGTGTGGCATGAGTGTTGCATGCATGGCATGTGTCTTTTCTCTGCCCTCCCCACCCGCCTCGCCTCACCAGCTCGCTGATATTGGCAGGTAGGTACGAGGGTGCGCTGTGCGTGTGTGGCTTGTGCGTTGTGTGTGTGTTGCATGTGTGTCATGCGTGTGGCATATGTGTTTTCACATTCTATCCATTCACCCCTCACTCCTCATAGCTCCTCCTCCCTGGCCCCATTCACCTGCCACCCACTTCCTCCGCTTCCTCCCACCCACCACCCCTTGCCCACCCTCGTACCCGGAGGCACACAAGAGGCACATACCCAGCCTCCTACACGGGGTGACTTTTGAGTCGACACAAGAGGCACATACCCAGCCTCCTACACGGGGTGACTTTTGAGTCGACACAAGAGGCACATACCCAGCCTCCTACACGGGGTGACTTTTGAGTCGACACAAGAGGCACATACCCAGCCTCCTACACGGGGTGACTTTTGAGTCGACACAAGAGGCACATACCCAGCCTCCTACACGGGGTGACTTCTGAGTCGACACAAGAGGCACATACCCAGCCTCCTACACGGGGTGACTTTTGAGTCGACTCAAGAGGCACATACCCAGCCTCCTACACTCATACCCCCAACGGTGCTGCTGCTGCATGCGTGTTGCATGCATTGCGTATGCTGCCAACCTCCTCTCCCAATTCACCTCGTACTTCCTCCTTTTCCTCACCCCCTCCATTCCCAAACACAGAAGAGGCACATATCCAGCCACCCACACTCATACCCCCAACGGTGCTGCAGCTGCTGCTGGAAGCGGCCGTTACTATGAGGACTATGGCGACAGTGGTCGAGGGATGGGGGGAGACGCTCGGGGAGGAGGTGGAGGTGGTGCCGGTGGTGGTGGGATGCGGGGTGGGATGATAGGGGGAAGTGGGCAGTATGCTGTGGAGCCTCCAGGGTTCAGGGTTTACTAACATGGGAAGAAGGGGTTTTAGGAGCTGTGGAAGGATTATTCCGTGGCTGGGAAATAAGGCTGGAGTGGTACTGGCTTTACTGCTCTCTTGCCGTTTACTTCTTTTACTCAGGGCATCTCAGTTCTGAGGTGGTGTGTTTTTTGCTGCTAGGGTCACTGACAACCCAGCAGCTATGGCCATTGACTAACCTCTTTGGATATGGTGCTGATTGACATGGTGCAGTGTGTTGGGCTGAGATGCCCTAGGATCTTTGTAGAGTTAAAGTCTTAGTAGGATTGTAATAGCGGAAGCGTTTGAATGAAAAGTCCTTGAACCACCTTGCGCTAGTATGTGAGGGCAAAGTAAGTTGAATAAACAAGCAAATACAAGGCTTTATATAAGAGTACAAGGAATACGAATAGATATAATTAAACTATTTTGCTGTTGCGATTCGATACAGTGCGACTCGGGCAACTGCTCAATGTCGAGTCAGATGTGTGTCCTTGCTGTCGCGCTGTATTTGTCAAGTCAAAGGTCGCTGACTTTTGACCTTCGCGTAACCTCCAGGCGGTTACCCTAACCTCCAAAGGTTGACTCGCGATGCTTCGATTTGGACTGCTTCGCTTGTGTCCTGAGTTTCGACACGACAGAGGCGCTTTAAGACTTATTGTTCCCAACACTCCCCTTCGCTTCTGGAGTGTCGCTAATGGTGACGTGGCCTTGTCCAGTCAGCAGCATGCAGTACTCGAACTTCTGTTTTCCGAGTTTCTTGGTCAAGTAATCGGCTGCCATCTCGGACGTGGGACAGTAGGATAATTCGAGTTTCCCTTTCTCGATCTCGTCTTTCACGAAGAAGTATCGCAGAGCGATATGCTTCGTTCTGTTCGCGAATCCGCTTTTGTTGGCGATGCGAATTGCAGATTGGTTGTCGCAAAATAGGGTGAAGTTGGGTAACTCGGCTAACTTTGCTTCTTCCAGCAGCTCGCGAAGGTAGAGTCCTTCCTTGGTGGCTGAGCAGAGGGCGATATATTCTGCTTCAGCTGAAGAGAGAGCGATTAGTTCCTGCTTGCTCGACAGCCAGGAGATAGGTCCGATAGGCTCGAGACGATAGACGTAGCCAGTGCGAGAGCGCCTATTGTCGGAATCGCCGGCATGATCGGCATCGACGTAGCCCATTAGTTTCGTGGTCGTAGTTTCGTTTTTGTAGTAAGTCAGGCCGATCGTCGGAGTGCTCACGAAGTAGTGTAGTGCGCGATCGAGCTCCGCCAGGTGCTCTGCTTCGGGTTTCTTGAGGTAGGTAGCGAGTTGGCTTGCGGAGTAGGATAGATCCGGGCGGCAGGTGACGGCTGCGAAGAGGAGGCAGCCCAGTTTCCTCTAATAGTCTCGTATTCCGGCAGCTTTGAGTGGAGCGGAATTTCCTTTGTTACTTCCTGCCGTGTAGCGGTATGGCGTGGCGATAGCGGTAGGTGTGAGCGAGAAGCGCTTGGCGATAGTGTCGGCGTATTTCTCGGCGCTTAAGTAGATAGCATTTTCTTCTTCGCGGATGTTGAGCCCGAGGTACTGGGTGACGGTAGAAGAAACCGTGAGCGTGAGGTCCTTCTGCAGCTCCCCTTCGAACCAGGTGGTGATGTCGTCGGTGGAGCCGATGTAGAGTAGGTCGTCGACGTAGACGATCAGTAGGATGTAATCGGCGTCTTTAGTGAATCGATACATTCCTTGGTCGTGCGGCAGTTGGCGGAATCCGATGCGAGTGAGTCGGGTGTGTAGGTGCTGTTGCCACAGCCGCGGGGCTTGTTTGATTCCGTAGAGCGATTTCAGTAGTTGGCAGACCTGATTGGGGTTTCCGTGGGTACCGTGTGGGAGTTCGACGAAGATTTCGGCGTCGACGGGTGCGTAGAGAAATGCGTTGGCGACATCGATTTGTCGCGGTTTCTTCTTCTTCATGGCGGCAACGGCGAGAAGAATTCGAAGAGAGGTATGTCGACTAACTGGGGCGAATGTCTCGGTGAAGTCTCGTCCTTGCTCTTGGTCGAATCCACGCACGACCCAGCGTGCTTTGAACTTCTCGATTGTGCCGTCTGCTTTCGTTTTGATGCGGAAGACCCATTTCCCGGTGAGAATGGTCTTGTTCCTTGCCACGCTTGCGGGAACGACCTTCCAAGTGTTGCATTCCTCCAGTGCCTTTAACTCTCTGTCCATGGCTTCGCGCCATTTCTCCCTGTGTTCCCCCCCCAGAGCCTGCTGAACCGTCGCAGGCTCCTTAGGAAGTGCGTTGCCGTGGACTGCGGTGACGAGGCCGAGGATTTGCAGTCCAGTCTGTGAGTATCGGGGGAGTGTTGGATCCTCGGGATAAGCTGCTTCGTCTCCCGCTTCTGGATCGGGTATGAAATTTGGCCCTATCCGTTCTGCTTCGTTTGTGTTGACTGTCGCAGGTGTTACGTAACCGTTGTCGGCGAAGTGATAGAAGACTTCGGCGTTGACACTGTCGCGAGGATTGTCTTCGTCCATGGGCACGTCGACGGAGCAGTACGGGAGAGGTCCGGTTTCTTCCGATGCGTTGTCGACGTTCTGTTCATCCCAGTCTGCTTCGTCCGCTGCTGAGGCGAAGGCTCGGTCACCACGAAAACCACCTGTGGGGTCCTGATTCTCGTGCAAGTTGGCGAGGTACGTTCGAAGGGTGAGTCGCTCGTAGAAGATCACATCACGTGCTGCTACTGTTTCCTTTGAGTGGACATCGAAAATTTTCCACGCGTTGTAATTTTTCTCGATGCCGAGGTGTAGTCCCCACTGTGCCCGTTGTGAAAATCTTCCCGCTCGTGCTTCTGGGGGTCGGTACTGCACCATGCATCCGAAAACTCGTAACATTCTTGTGCTGCCCTGCTTTCCTGTCCACAGCAGATGCGGTGATGCGTTGTTCGGGAGTGACGACGACGACAGCAAGTTGTGCAGCATGACAGCATGGTCCATTGCTGCAGGCCACTGGTGGTTGGGTAGCCGCATGCCACGTAGCAGTTTGCGCATGCTGTTCTGCAGAGTCCTGTTCATTCTTTCTGCAACACCTTGCTGCTCATGGGCGTAGGGAAGGGAGAGGAGTTGCTTGATTCCCCTTTCCGCCAGGTACTGCTTGAAGCGCTGAGAGGTGTATTCTCCTCCTCCGTCTGACTGGAAGCTTTTCAACTGTGTTCCTGACTCCCTCTCTGCTACCGGTAGCCAAGCGGCGAACGCTGCGAGTGTCATGTCGCGGCTGGGTAGGTTTCGATGCCAGACGTATCGAGTGGCGGCGTCGATGAAGGTTATCGTGTAATTGTAGGTGACTTGTCCTGGTTCTCGATTGAAGAGGATGTCGCTGTATACTTTCTCGAGTGGTGCGTATGCAGGTGCGCTCGGGTTGTGGTGAGAAGAAAACGGTCGATGGGGTAAGTCGGCTTCGGGGCAGATGAGGCAAGTTCCTCGTGCCCGTTGAAGTTCTCTGCCGTCGTGTAGTAGTAGCGAATCTTTGTCGAGGACTCCTGCTCGTATTGTGTTATTTAATACTGTGTTGCTTGGATGTCCTGTGCGTGCGTGCCAGATGTCTTCAGGAGCGCGATGTCCGGGTGAGCGTTGATACGCGTCGGAGTTGGAGTAGAAGCTGGCGACAACATTGGCGCTTCTGTGGACTTCTCGTTGAGTCGGGTTCAGTTGCTGTGCGGGTGTTGGTGGTGCTTCGTCGACGATGACTGGTGTCGTTAGTCCTACTGCTGCCGATGATGTTTCTGCTGCTGTCGATGTTGTCTCTGCTACTGCCGTTTGTTGAATTGTTGCTAACGCTCGTGTTCGTTCTGCTTCAAGGATGGTGTGCGAGTACCAGAAACCTCCCGGGCTGAAGTCGGGATCGAGATCCGGGGGATGTGTCCAATCGGCGAAGTTGACGATGGCGTCGCTATCTGCAGTGCCAAGGTCGGGGACGAAATCGAGGACGAAGACGTTGTTCTTCAAAACTGCTCTTCCGATGTAAAGGCCGCCCTTCCCGTGGTACAGTTTAAACTCCTGGGTGGTGCTGTCGGCTTCCAAGTGGATGCCTTTCGCCATCAGCTGGCTGACACTCAGTAAGTTATAACCGAGTCCTTCTGCGATGAGTACCTTTGACATGTGCAGTATGACGTTTGTCTCTCTTGATTGAAGCTGAACTACTCCTTATCGTCGTGTGCGCAGGTTCTGGTTGTTGGCGACCGTGATGACTACTTCTCGCTGGAGTCGATGTTCTAGGTAAAAAAAAAAAAACCCGAGGAGCACATATGTTGTCCGCAGCAACTGTCCAATAACCAGGTGTCTTGCCCGGACGGTTCGCTTTGAGCGATGGCGGCGTACGTCGGATTCGGTTGGAGTGACTCGCGGCGAGGCGTCCTGTTGTCGAGCTCTTCTTCCGGTGAGTAGTGAGGTGGTGATTCGGTTGTGCACGAATCAGTTATCTTCACCATGCAATTGACAATGTTTCTTGCTCCTTGTGTAGATTGTCCTGTTGGAGTCGTTGAAGTTTGGATTGAGGTCGTCGGATTTGCTTGTGTTGAGGCAACTTGGGAGCTTGAAGGCCGGAGTTGTCGCTGTGGTGTTGTCTGACGAGACGGGCAGTGCGTGCGAGGGTGTCCCGAAGTCTTGCAGATGTGGCAAAACGGAGGTACCGTCTTTACTTGTTGCTGTTGTCGATTGTTGTTGTTGTTGTATCGTCGCTGAGTGTGAAACGCAAACTCCTGTGCTAATGTTTTCTTCTTGTGTCTTTCTTCTTGCAGGTCCATGTCCTGCTGCTCGGCATGAACTTTGGCGCAGAGTGCCGCTTCGGAAATCCTCCCGTGTGCTCGTAATATGGCGCGAGTGGAGCGCCAGTGGGGGCCGAGACCGCCGATGACCACCGTGACAAAGGCGTCTTCTGAAATCGACCCTCCGCATCGAAGAAGCTTGTCGCGCAGTTCGCGGCAGGGGCTGATATAAGCCATGCCTTTCTCGCCTGGTTTCATTTCAATTCTTGTCAACTGCGCCATTAACCT